CCCGGCCCCGCAGCCCCGGGCCCCGGGCCAGCCCCAGGCCGAGCACCCCCGGTCCAGCACCGCCGGCCCCGGGCCAGCACCTCCCTATTTTCCCGGACATGTTCGGCTTTTTGGGATTTCCCCCCGGACGGGGATTTGAGTCCCAAAAAGCCAGACATGTCCGGGAAAATCCGGACATATGGTAAAACTGCTGAGCTAGAATTGATATGCAAACTAGACACAATCAACTCCGGTTTGAATAAGGACTGGGAATGGCTGAGCCATTACAAACATTGAATCTATCTCCCCTTGTAAGTATTCTCACACTTGTTATCTAACTGTCTGTCTGTACTGGGCTAGCTTGATTATCACTTCAAAAGTTTTTTTTTCTCTTAATTGGCCTCTCAGAGGTGGTAAGACAACTCCCACCTGTTTATGCTCTCTGTATGTGTGTATATATATCTCCTCAATATATGTTCCATTCTATATGCATCCGAAGAAGTGGGCTGTAGTCCACGAAAGCTTATGCTCTAATAAATTTGTTAGTCTCTAAGGTGCCACAAGTCCTCCTGTTCTTCCTATTCAACAGTATCTTTCTCCCCAATTCGTCCCATTGAAATCCATGATTAAGGGTTGCAAAATTAGGCTATTCGTTATAAAATAAGGCTCTGTGTAAATCACAGTTTCACAGACTGCTCAGAAATGGTGAGATTAGCCCAATACTGTGACTTTTGCAACTGTGGGGAGGCGGATGGAGGCATCTCGGTTTCTGCCTCCCCTCTGTTGGAAAAATCAGAGTATTGGGCTCATACAGCTGCTGCAGTTGGAGGTTGAGATGTCTCATCATGTGGTGTTAGCTGGTGGCTCTCGCCCAGCCTGCCACTGCTACTTCCTGTCCGGCCAGCGGAGAGACAGGGAAGGTGCTGACAATGTATGGGGATTAGGGGACCCTGGCCTAGCCCACTCCACAGCAGTCCACGGCAGGCTGAGGGGAGATACTGCAGGCGCTGAGAGGGATTTTCCACTTGGAGTACAAGCATGTGTGTGAGGGAGGCCAGAGCTGGGATGGATGGATGGCGCCCTGTGGTGGCACACACACCCTGCTCCAGGGGCCTGCCATGCCCACTCTAGGGAGTGGGACTGGCCTGCCACTTACCTGCCCTCCCCAGGATGGGATCAGCCCACTTAACTCCCCATAAGCAGCCTCTGCCTCAGCTGGGAGGTGGAAGCTGGGATGCCTGCTTGGAAAAATTGCAGCAGTTCAGCAGGGGAGGCAACTCCGCAACCGTGCATGTTCTCGTATTTCGTGAAATTCCAACACTTACCCCTGAAGCTGTTGTGATTCAATACAAAATACAATGCAGTTTACACAGAGCCTTAGTTGTAAACTGCTCATTCAGAATATTTCAACCTATAGCAGTTTCCAGAAACAGTACCAGAGCTTTTTTCTAGGAGTGTACTTGGTTATGTAGTGGTTTGTCACTTATAAAAACCCCCAAACTTCTCAGCATTAAAAAAAATGCAAGATTTCCTCTTCATTGAAATCACACATTTATTAGAGAGAAGAAAGGTTTATGCTAACTTGACAAATAACAGGAGAAAATTAACCTGGCTTAAATATGCTCTTTTCATATTATAGGAAGAAAACCAATGACTTTTAGGGAAGATGTCCTTTCAGTGCCAATAGCAGAACTGAATTATGGGCTGTGCCTAATGACTAAAGAAGCTAGAAAGGAAGATGGTTCCTCTTATGAAGCAGACATGTTGTATTATTTATTTCTTTGTATTCAAAAGGTAAACATAAAATGCTGTTGAATGACTGTTGGACTCCTACTATACACAGAGAATTAGATCTTACATGAAAAGTGCCATTTTCCCCTTCAGGAGGTAACCCATGAGAGAGAGAGAGAGAGTTGCCAAAGAAAATCTGAGAGCTGATTGTAGCTACTCATGCTGAGTTGAAAAAGCATATATTCCCTTTCCTGAAACAGTGTCACTAATGCAGAATGTAATGTGTTCTGTGCAATCCCATAAAATAATTTGTTAAAATATAGAATTAAACAGTGGAAGCTTTTAGTTTTGAACCTAAGGGTGGTGGGGGTTGGAATTAGAGGGGTTCGGGGAGGGGCACAATTGGGGCTTTTTGAGGCATAATATTCCTCAATACTCCGCATACTAAAGCTTTCATGATAAGAGATCCAAAATAGTTTTTTTTTTTTGGGGGGGGGGGAGAATACCCACAGCTTGTTGTTTAGTCCATCCTTCAAGATGTGTTGCTAAGGGAACTTAGTGTGGAGCAGGAGTTAGCCTATAAAATAAATAGAGCATAGGTGCAGGTAGTGTTAACAGCAATCAGCTGAACTGTTAGAATATAGGTATGTATTTTGTTAGTGTAGACCAGGCCAGTGATAGTAAATTTGAAACCTCTTCCAATAAGTCTTAAATACCTGTATTGCTGATACCTGATCAATAGGACTAATGAGCTTTATATTCTTGAAGTGTTTCTGAATTCACTGTGTTCTTGCAAAACTCACTTTCCAGTTTATTCTTGTTCAGACGGCTAAAGTCTAAATGAAGGAAGTTGATGTATGCATGTCACAGGCATTACTGAGACAGGCTATTTGGGTGGAAGAGAGACTTGTTTCATTCCCCTCCCCCCCCCCCCCCGTAATAATTTAAATAGAACAAACTTAAAATCCAGTTTTTTAAAATGTACTAGTTTAGGGAAATTGCTCTCTCATGCAAGAGTCAGTAGAACTTTGTCAGTGATTCATTTAAAACATGGGATTATTATTTTTTTACAATGAATCATTTAAATTCCAACATGCTAGGCCACTCCATTAGGGAAAATGTTAGTGTGAAATGATGAAGACTTACTGATGTTCCTGTTCTTCTGTACTGAGTGAGTTATGTTTTTGTAGAGTTTACATTCTGAGCCATTTTATGGTTGAGACATTCAGAGGTTAACTAACTTCGTTATAAAATGAGGTCTAGTAAAACAGAGCTTTCATTTCAGTTATTATCCTACCCACATCCCTTTCTTTTTTTATTCATAGTATATGTTTGACAATGACAGAATTGACAACATTTTTGCTGATCTTTATTATGTGAAGTTTTTGGAAAGACTTCATGGAGTGATGAAGGGATGGTGTCCAAAAGTGAGCCCCTCTGGTAAGTGGAGAAACATTGGAGGGAAAATGAAGTCTGTACTTGACTAGTATGTTCTGAAATGAATTTATTTGTATCAATATTTGTTTTCCAGGGTATATTCTGTCTAGCTGTATCATGGAGGAAATGTTATGGGATTGCAAACAACTTGGAGCACATTCTCCTGCTACTCTCCTGTTCACACTGATGTATTTCAACACTAAGTAAGAATGTTTTATATAAAAGTCTTTCATGTCTGAGTCCATGTAGCCTACCAAATGGCTTAGTTTTTGTAACTTGCTGAAAAAGGTTTCCCAATCTCCTCCTGTCCCCTGCATACCAAACAAATGAATTGGTAAATATACTTTAATGCTTGCCAAAACCTTACTATTTGTGTTTTGCTCAAATTCTCATTATCTCTTGATGTTTAGTGCACATGGTGAACTGACAGGTGGGGAGTGGATAGTACATGTTAGAAGTAGTCGTTAGATTTATTTTCCCTGATTACTCATATCTAATTTTTCATAAGCTAAGTACTGAAAGACAAACCTCTTATCATACTTCTATAATTCATTTTCTCTTTTTTTATACTTTTCTTTACAACAGAACTATCATGTTGGTTATTTTCACAACCACAAACAATATTCATGTAAAAACCACTGTAGACTCATTACTGAGTCTTATACGATACAATCCCTGTCTGCTGCTTATGTAAATTCTTAATAACTTGGTATTATTTCTTTTCTTGTGCTGTCAGTTTCTGAACATCCATTAATATTGTTTCCAATGAAAGCCCCATTTTAAATGCCAAGCAAACTATGTATACATTGCAAATAAAACACAGTTGGAAGGTAATATATTATTCATTAGTGCAGGGGTCGGAAACCTTCGTCACACAGCCCATCAGGTAATCCGCTGGTGGGCTGCAAGACGTTTTGTTTACATTGACCATCCGCAGGCATGGCCCCCCGTAGCTCCCAGTGGCCACCGTTCGCCGTTCCCGGCCAATGGGAGCTGCAGGAAGCGGCAGGCCGCAGGTACGTGCTGACTGCTGCTTCCTGAAGCTCTCATTGGCTGGGAACAGCGAACCGCAGTCACTGGGAGCTGTGGGGGGCCGTGCCTGCGGACAGTCAACATCCGCAAAATGTCCGTGGCCCGCCAGCAGATTACTCTGCATTAGTGGGTACTATTACACTTCCCTCCCTCCTCTTCCCCTCCCCCCACCTAACTGTATAATTTAGAATTTTAATTTACTTAATTACATTGGTATTGAGTTGTTCAGCTCAAATTGGAATTTAACTTTCTAAAAACAGGTTGGAATCAAGAAATCCTATAATACATGTTGACTTATTCTTCCTTTGTATAAATAGATTCTTTCTCTGTATAAAACTAAATATTCTGAAGTTATTTATAAGATAGACCTAAATCAATGATTCTTCTTGACCACACGCTATTTGTGCTTAATTATATTACAAGATGATCTTTGACTCTTCTGAGGATGTGCGTTGACAAAAGCATTAAGATAAACATTTACTAAAGTTTTAAAGTAACTGTTTCAAATCATGTTGGTCTGAATTTGACTTCCCTTTAAAATTATCTGGTAAATAATATCCTCTCTTTTAAAATATTTGGTAGTGCCTTTACTTTTTAATAAAAAAAAATCATCACTGTTCTGTGCAAGGCAAGTTTTTTGTATTTTTCCTCTGTTGCTGCAGTTAACAAAGAAATACCATTCCTACTTTTTTTTTTCTGCACCAGAATCAACAAAAACACAAAGCAATATTGACATTAATTACAAGATGTGCCCAAATATTAGGGGGTATAGAGACTTAAATGTTTTGCCAAAAAACAAACTTTTATACACGTTTACCCCGATATAACATGAATTTGGATATCACGCGGTAAAGCAGTGCTCCGGGGGAGCGGGGCTGTGCACTCCAGTGGATCAAAGCAAGTTCGATATAACGCAATTTCACCTATAACGCGGTAAGATTTTTTGGCTCCTGAGGACAGCGTTATATCGAGGTAGAGGTGTATAAACTTTATTTTGCAATCTTACAAAAGATAGCATCACTCTTTTTATAGTTGAAATGAATTTTGGTGTGTAATGATTTTAAACAGATTGGAATTAAATAACATCAGAATAGGATATGCATTCCTACACACTTTGATCTGTCATTAAGCTAAAAATTAAGGTCCCAGTTCTTCAAAGCACTTAAGTACCAATGCAAAGTCCAATGAAGTAAATGGAAAGACTCCCCTTGAGTTCTGTTGGCTTTGGATTATGGTTTTAACCATGTGCTTAGCTTCAAGCACATACTTAGATGCTTTGTTGAATAAGAACTGGAGGGTATGTCTACACAGGGATTAAAGACCTGGTTAGACTAGGTCAGTTGACTCGGGCTCATGGACTCAGGCTGCAGAGCTAAAAATCGCTGTGTAGATGTTCAGTCTCAGGCTGGACCTCCAGTCCTGGGACCATCCCCTTTGCAGGGTCCCAGAGCTCAGGCTCCAGCCCAAGCCCCAACATCTACACTGTGATATTTTCAGCCCTGGTGCCCAATTCAGCTGATGTGGTCCAGCTGTAAGTGTTGTATCCCTATGTAGACGTACACTAAGAGCCTTTAACTACCCAAAAGTGTACCAATATTTTAAGCTTCCTCCCCTTCCCCAAACAAAAAAAGTTAGAAGCATTCAGAATGGGTTTATTTTGAAAGATTATTCTATTTACTATACCATAATAAATAGCTCTCAGATGGAGAATCTGATTTTGGGTTGTTAAAATTATTTTTTAGTCTGTCTTCCTGTTTCTCTCTCTTGTTGATTTATGTTCCTTTTATTTATTGTGGTGGAAGGCAGAGCTGATTATTTGCTATTAAAGATTCTTTATAATGTTGCTTAAGACTCCTTGGTAACCAAATTAGGAGTATACTACAAGCGGAGTAAGATCTCAAACAACCCTTGTTTTCACTAAAGTCCCAATCCAGCAGAGACCTCAGTGACACTACTCACAATGTGTAAAATTCAGCATGTGCATAAGTCTTTGCAGGATTAAGTGATGTTTTCTAATATAGTATCGGATCCCGCAAATACTCGCTTTGCTGGGACTATTCATGTGAGTAAAGTTACTTCCAGAATCAAGTCCATAGATTAACGTCCAAAAGGAAACACCTGTATAGTGAGGTCTTAAGGAATGTTTCAGCTCTCTGCCCTCATTTCTGATTTTGGCACAATGCAGAAGGGACCTTTCTGAAATTTGATGTGGGGTCTAGATGAGCTCAAATAATTAGTTGAAGTCAGAATGTGACTTTGAACAGGTAGGATAATATTCTGAATTCTTGCTGTGCCATAAAACAGTAATATTGAATCCAATTACTCTGGGGTTACACAAGTATAACGGGTCAGAATTTGGTCCACAGTCCAAAGCAATACTTTTTATCGAGAATCTGGAAAGCCTTTTAAAAAATATTTCTACTAACTTAAAAACAAATTAAGTACTCCCTGCCCAGTTTGCCATCTCTCTCCCTCTCTCCCCAAAACTGAGTTATAATTGTTTTTCTCTTGTATGTGAGTAGGTATTTCATATTGAAAACTGTGGAGCAGCATGCACAGCTAGCCTTTTCCAAAATACTGAAGCAGACCAGGAAAAATACAGGCATCGGAAAGGACAAATGTTCTATAATACGATTCCTGAGGCTTTATGGACAGATTCTTGGAGGACGAAAAGGTTTGAACTCATTAGACTAGGATAATAACCTTTAAAATGATTGTGTGCCATTGTTTGCCACTAAGATTGTGAAGGACATGACAAAAAAAGCTGCCTTGGCAATTTGTTTGGAATCTGAGCACTGCTGTTAGTGTGCATATATGCTTAGACTCTGTTCCAGCAGAGAACTGTGTAGGTGAACCCCTCCTACTGTGCATAGCCCCATTTAAGTCCGTGGGGTTCTTTAGGGAAGCAGGGGTTTGCCTGTGCAGAGTCAGTCTCAGGCCTGGAGCTTTAGATTGTATTCCCCACTCCTAGTGATGCACATCTAAGTTGGGACCCTCAAATGCACTCGGCATTGGCCTAACTCTGCACCCACTGAAATCAATTAGAGCAAAGGTAGGCCAGCACTAAGTACACGGTATTCTTAAAAATTCCAACTTTCATGTTTTTGGCAATTTTTCTAACTTTTATTAAAGCTGTCTCCCTATTTCCTTTCTCTTCTCTCCTTGCATGTTTGTGTTTCTTTTTGCATCTTTTCTACATCTGGTTCTTTTAGAAACCCAGACATAGGATTTGTTTCACAGGGGGCATTACGCTATGTATATTTTATATCAGTTACTCTCAAAATGCTTGGGCCGTTTCCTTGCTCCCTGAACCCCTCCTAATTTACAAACATACGCACATACCTCTGCCTTGGTGGAGCATATCTGCTCTCTTTAGAGTGTGTGTTTCTCTCCTTAAAGCTATAACCTGTCCTCAACCTGTGTGCGGAGTTTACATTGACGTTCCATAGGGGAGAGGATTTTTGTCTTTAGCATACTGGCAGGCTATTGTCCTAGCCATTTTCCAAAATGGTTGCGGGTCATGGAACTAGCCTATCTGGAAGTTTAACAAACTACAACTCATCCTGTGCTCTGAACTGTCAAGTGATTGGCTTCATTCTCCAGTTACTACAGATCTACCTTCCTACAGCCATAAGGCATAGGCTGCTTAAAGAAATAGCATCAGACATATATGCTCAAATGAAATCCCTGCCCCCACCCCCGAGAGGACTGTGCATGCACAGATGAACTCTTGCGGTGATTCCTAAATTATAGAATGAGAGGGTACATTCAGACTCTACAAGAGCATTAAACAGTGGTTGCTATAACTTTTTTCTCAATAGAGTTGGTCTCCAGAAAGGCTAGATGCATATTTTATTCTTTTGGGTCACTTCTGCAAGTATTGAACAGCGTGGCATTCCATAACACTTTCTTTATGCTGCAAAAGTTTGAGGCACCCACTTATATGCTTTGTGAGAATAACTTGCACAGCTTCCCTATGTTACCATGTGATCTTGGCATTTCTTTCAGGTTGCTTGATGGTCACTTAGAATCATAGTCTATCAGGGATGGAAGGGACCTCAGGAGGTCATCTAGTCCAACCCCCTGCTCAAAGCAGGACCAATCCCCAGACAGATTTTTGCCCCAGATCCCTAAGTGGCCCCCTCAAGGATTGAACTCGCAACCCTGGGTTTAGCAGGCCAATGCTCAAACCACTGAGCTGCCTCCTGGCTTGTCTTAAGTTGAGGCAGGGACCCATATTTTTTTGTTTGCCTGGGGCAGCAATGCTGCTTGAGGCCTACTTTAATATAAACCAGTATGCATCCCGTCTACTACAGTAAAGAATGCTGACCACTTAAGTTTAAGCACTTCGAGTTCTTAATGAAAATGAGTTTGAGTAGTAGGGTTGCAGCTATTCCTAAAGTGCTGAATGGAGGCCATGACTTGGTTTCCAGAGGGTCTAAAGTAACTTCTTTTTTTTTAAATATAGTTTACAAATAAATAGGATTTCATCCAAGAAAATTGTATAGGATTTACTTAGAAGAATGGAGGATTTGGAGTCCTTAGAAAGGCTGACAGAATTGCCTCTTCTCTTTCTCCCCCTCATCTCCTTTCCCCTTCTGCCACTTTGGGGAATGACACTTTCTCTACTTATCCAGTGGAAGCTAAACACTACCCACCAAGACGTGCAACAGAATTTTTACCTGTTTACAAATCAGTCCCTTCCACGATGCCCAGGCATTCACTACGCATCAGTCCTATTGATCCAGCTCCTGGAGCCATTGAGCTGATTGCAAGGGAAAATTCCTGTCTCTTATACACTTTTTGTGTGTGTGTGTGCGCACGCAAAGCATTTTAAAATGATTCCTAGCCCAAAAAGCATATGCAATTTTTGAAAAGGCTTTGCAAAATCAAGTAATTTAGGAAGCAATCTTTCATACAGTCATTGGTGGTTTTAGTGGATTTTCAGAGAGGTGAACGTATGCTCATAAAGTCAGACTGCTTACAGGGCCGGCTTTAGGGCGATTCAGCCGATTCCCCGGAATTGGGCCCCGCAACGTCCTGAAGGAGCTGCCTCCGAAGTCCCGCCACTGTCTTCGGCAGCAGCTCAATCGCCGTCGCGGAGCAAGTGCCGCCGAAGCAGGGCCGGCTCCAGGCACCAGCTTAACAAGCAGGTGCTTGGGGCAGCCAAGGGAGAGGGGCGGCACCTGTGGCATTTTGGGGGCGGCAGGTCCCTCACTCCCTCTAGGAGTGAAAGACCTGCAGCTGAACTGCTGCCGCCGATCGCAGTTCTTTTTTTTTTTTTTTTTTTTTTTT